GAAAAGTGTGAAGTGGGAAGATTGTAATTCAGTAGAAAAATCATGGAAAAGCACGTACTGATCGTTAACGACGTTGAGCGTTGCTTCGAGGAAGTGCACACGACGTTGTTATCGTAGATACCGTTTCTACTGACATGCCAAGTTCGTTTGCGAATTTCTCCATTCAAAAATCGTAGCATTTACTTTGTGATAGTCGCGATATGATTCGTGAAAATCTTGAAACTAGAACTTTAGGTTTGATGGGTAGTTCATCGAATCTTCAGAATCAGCAACGTGTCGAAATGCACATCCCTAGACGATAAAAATGAGACAGCGAAAACAGTAGAAATAGGTTAACAAACTCTGGAGTTGAAATAATCAAATTTTTACGATTGCGAAGACTGTTCGCGTGTCTGGTAACATCATTCGATAGCACAACAAGTGAAAACAAGGCTGGACAGCACAAAGTTATACGACATAAGCGTAATATGATCACTCTGCGTTCGATTATATGCTGCTGCAACGATTTAACCTCTTCGATCCTGAAATTTTTCGTCGAGAGCGAAAAATATGCGCGTGCATCGTTTTATTTGAGGTTTATTAAACTCGATTGAATACAAAAACTACAATATTCAGCTGTCCACCAATTGGAACTTTTGTCGAAGTTGTAAACAAATGGTAGTAAACTGCGCAGTTTTCCTCGAATCGAAATAATCATCAAATCGGTAATTTTAGTCGTTTTAGCATCGAGTACATCAGTGGTAACCGTTAATTATTAGCTAAAATCGGTTAGATGATAGTTTATTGCTATTACGGGAGATCCGTACGTAACCACACATAACTGCGGTAGACAATCGATAAACTTAATCGATATACATACATATGTTAGTCTGGCGACGTCGATAAGCACAGGTGCCCGTAACTATATCCAAGTGATTTTTAATTGTTCGTTAATGCTTTCAAGAATGTACAAATTTAGATTACGTCTTGTCTGTTTTCCACGCTATAACGATGCGGGAGAAATGTTTTATGCACAACAGCATAAGTATGTTTCAATCTACATATTTAATATTTACTACACCTAATATTTAGGAATTCCATACTGTAGGTAATTGGTACGTTAACGAAATAATTTTGTAGGCCCGATGTATCGAAGTTTCATTAACAATGTAGGTATAGCATAGATATCTATGGGAGCAACCGATAGACCGGTCGATAGAGCTTAGGGTGGCCTACCATGGTTTATGCAGTATGGTGTCTACATAAACGCGACGATTCCACGCCATGTACACCCATAAGGGAGTAGGGAGTGGAGGGGAGTAAGAAAGAGCAGACGACATGCGCCGGCCCTCGTTGACCGCACGTTATAATGCGCAAAGCCCTCAAACGGAACGAGCGTCGGACGGTCATTCAGAGCTCGGCGAGTGCGCGCGTGGTACGTTTCGTGACTTCGCGTCCTCGTGTCTCAGTGTTTGATTACATCAGCCCCTGTGCGTGGTGTCCACGTTCACCTGACCCCTGGTGAAGACCAGATCGACCACGAGACAACGCGGAACGATGCTCTGAGGGTGGCCCTCCGTGTCAATGCCGGACTGCTCTCCTCTGTGATCGACCACGTGTAGGTGACCAGTGACACTTACGGACTTTGCGAGCAAATCACCACTACCGCAAAATACGTCAAGCTTAGGTGAGCGGTGCCATTCAATTTTTCGTTTACATCCGCTACAGGGGAATCGGTGATCGATCGTTTCGAATTAAGGGTTGTTCAAGTTGTTGATTTATTTTAACAAGTATCATCAGGTTTTGAGACGCGTTGCAAGGGGAGAGCTTTCTAGTTTAAAAACAACTGCACAGGGGTTGCATCGTACCCTTTGGTTATTTCCACTGTAGTATCTAGACACTTTTAAATTCAAATATAATTTCACGGTAAATGTTGAAAGTTGCAAGCCGATACGGTTGAGATTATCGAGGATCGAGTCGAAATTATTGCAAATTGCATTAGGACGTGTGTTGACGGGTAGTGCAAATATGATTAACATCGAAAGTCGAGGGTGATGCAAACAACAGCGAGAAGTGAGACGATTCTTCGATCTGTTTGTCAGATATTTAGACAACGCTTGGTTATTGGATACAACGAGAAACGATGATTAGATTTCGCGTTCCCGGGTCGAGTGGAAACCACCCCTTGAGATGTCGCTGGTTTCTTGAACGTAGAATGAGAGAATTGGGATTGGAAAACCCGGTCGGCGACCCACGTGGCCTATTGATTTTCTTGTCCGCCATAACGCTATCCTGTCGGAGGTGAAAACTAACCTTTTTTCCATCGGTTAAACGCACCGTAGGAATATCGCGAATCGGATTCTTTACGAAGATGTATATATATATATTTTTTTTAACGAAGTACCGTTTGGATGAACGATTCGTCTTTCTAGCGTTACAAAGCATATCGCGTCTCTTAGCACAACAATGGTCGTTTACACGCAAACTGATCGATGCTGTGTTCCCCATCACGATTCGCTTTAGTTACAATTTCTGACAGCTAGGTAGGGTCACTGGTATCGTTTACGTAGTAAACGATCTATGACCATACGTTAATTCTGGATTTGTAAATAAACTCGTAGATATTGGTAGAAGAATTATATTTCGGTTTTCCGAGGACAGGATTAACGCGTAAATAACGGAATATTTACAAGTTCCGAGTTGACTTTTCTAGTACGACACTCCTACGGTATAAGCTTCGTAACGGTAGTGTTTAGGATTAAAACTTGATCGTCCGAGGACGCTATAGTATACAAACGTATCGTTTTCAACATCTTCTCGCGTGACATAACTTGTTCGAGTAATCAATTATTATTGAAAGCACACGATCGAAAGTCGCGTCGCGCGTTCAGAGGGTGAGCGATGGCGGACACCGCTGAAATAAAGGTGAGGGACAGCGACAGAATTTTTGCGATAACTTCTGTCTACGTCGCTCCACCAAGAGGCCGCTACCTTATGTTTATCTTATGTTTAAGTACAGGTCGCGTTACCGTCGAAAGGTGACTGCCGTGGTCGGTGAAAGATCAATAGAAACTGACGCAATCCTCGCGAAAGTTTCGCGAGCCCCCGTGCTCGATTTAGGGAGTCCTTTTCTGTGCACGTGCGTAAAACGAGCCTGTCACAGAATCGAGAAAGATCTATTTTTATCGAATTTTCGTCTACCAATCGCCAGCTTACAGCCAAGCTTTTTCCTCCAACAGCTGTTCGATTTTTGCGCGTTTCATACTCGGTCCAAGGATGATTACGACTCGAAAACAAGTATATCTTACAGTGTCGTAACTGGAAATTCTGAGGCCGTGCGCTAAATTTTATCGAGAGTCTCTCGAGGTATTGAACGAGGCGAGATGAGAACTTGAACGCTTATTAGAAACGAAGGTACGAGCGGCCATTGTGTGACAACGAAGGGTTTCGTAAAAAATCCGTGGAAGGTTGTTCGGGGAACGGTGGGGAGTGAACTGGTATTTGAAAAGGGGTTCGCAGTTTCACTGGAGGCCGGCACAGTACCGAAAGTACTTTTTACCTATACAGAACGATGAAAGAAATGGGAGTCTTTTCTAACGTCTAAACGATTTAAGGAGTTGCGCATTCAATTTTACGCCATTTAATTCGCCGTCGAAAACTATTGGATTGTCCGGAAAGTTCGTGCCGTTTTCGAAGGAAAATTGGAACGCAGAATATTTAAATTTTAGTATAAATTTATCAAGTTATACAGGTGCCATTTTGATCTACAACCCTTTTCCATCTTTCAGGCAATTTGAATATTCCGTCCGTTCCGATATCGTTCTGATATATTCAGACCTGTCTTAACGTCACCTACCAAAAAATGGCACGAACTTTCCGGACAATTCCGATACATACAAATAGGAATGTTCGAAATTTAATCTAGAAAATTACTGATAGTTGATATTCACGCGAGTGACCCTCTTAAGAGTATGCATGCAGCGTTCGGAGAACAGACTTGAAGCTGTACGAATGCCTGCCGGACTGTCGCATTAGGAGTTCGAATTAAAGAGGGTTGTGCGTACGTGTCGCCACGTCGAGACCTCGCTTGTATCATATATTTTGCAAATTACTCTCTCGCAAAAGTAATGGCGGCGTTCAGGCGTTAAATCTGTTCATTGAAATCCAAGCATGAAGAATATTCCCTCTTCAATATTTATCAGACATAATGTTTAGTTCCTCTATTTCGTTTGAGATATTTTAGGTATTTGAATTTAAACGTTTCCTGATTATTGTGTCGCGTATTATTACTCACCAAGGAAGACCGTGGATGGGTAATTATTTGATTGTAAAGACGGACCTAGTTATCAGTGAATACGAGACACGAGGAAATTTGATATCGTATCGCGAACGCGACATGGACAAAATATACGGTACCGTGTGATCGTCAACACTTTAAACTCACGTTTTACGCGATTTACCTTTTGAAACCGGATGATCGATTATGGATCTCGGAACATTAACTGCATCTTATTTGAACGATAGCAAAAACGCCAACGTCGACACATAATCTAAAAAAATTGCTCATCGATGAACCGAGATTAATCAGAAAATTCGATAGTGCCTGTTCCTCTTCCAAGCCTCTTGTTTCCTATTCTCGGATTACGACCACCTCTGCGGTCACGTGGATGCAGTTATTATGTACTTCGATCCGTAGACTCTTTTTCGCGCAATCTTTCGCACAAATCGCTCAGTAAAAGAACAACTGGCGTTCGTTCGGTCGTCGTATTACGTTTAACTCGATCTGTCCCGCGTAAAACTCAATCTTTCGCCGGCTTTTATTTCCCATGTGTTTCTCGGTGACGATTTTACTGCTCGTCGTTTCGTTCGGTTGGGCGTGCAAAGTCGAAACGTAATTTGCGCGTTTGAATATCGGCGTGGAACGGTCTCGTTGCTTCCGCGTATCCAATAAACAGGGATTTCCGTCGTAGATCCAGGAGAATGCTGCACACGTATGGAACTTTCAGTATGTGTACAGCAGTGGTTTTCAAACAGAGCCTGAAATACTTTTAGCGATCTCGAGCAGAGGAGAATTAAATTGTTTTGTTTGAACTAGCTACCACTAAATTACGGGTCAATAGTGCGCTGTCAGCCAGGGAATTAAAGTGAAATATTTACGGCGCACGGATGGAAATGGCGTTACAACGTGCGCGAATAACGCGATTACTTATTCACGTGGGAAAAAGTTCGACTGGCTTCCTATGCTTTTATCTCGTACGAAGTAGCTTTTAGTTTTTTATTTAAAAAAAAAAGAAAAAGAAAGAAATGAGAGATCGCGGAAAGTTATACTAAATACCACGTTAGCTCAAAAAATCATAGGATACATTGATAGTTAAATTATACATTGTTCCACTCGAGTGATCGCATAGAATCGCGCTAATTCGTACTCAACATATTAGATTGGAACAAGCCGCACGGAGCTGGTGCAAATTCAGACGAATCAAAATTTGTCGTTAATTCCTTTATTGATACCTTTATTCGACATTGGCATACACGAAGCATTTCGTAATTCTTAGGTGAACGGATAAACCGTCGAAAGTATGCAATAAAATTTCTTCGCGAGACACTTAATTTTCACGTTTACGACCATAGCCCAGTAAAGCTTCCGTGCCATCCAAGAATAGTTTATACCATGAAACATTGTCTGTTCTAAAAGTATCTGCCGCGAATCGTAGAATTTTGCGATAATTCGGCGTCTTGAGGATCGATCAAAAAAAAAAAAAAAAAGAATTAAGAACAAAAGGTTACGTAAAAAGTAAAATTAAAATTTATTACAATTTATTCCATAAAGTGCAACTCTTCTTTTTAAACGTGTATAGAATAAAGCACGTCGGAAATGTTGAAAATTCTTCGAGATACATTTAGGAGATACATTCGCTAAAGTTTATGGTACGTTTGAATATCAGAAAGACTGTCCTATTTATAAAAAGTATTCGATTTGTCATGGGTTGGTCCATCCACTTTCGTTTGTGTTCGTTGGCCGCGGTCACGGAACTTATAAAGGAAAGGAAAGATTCGATAATCGAATCGACAACGTGTTGCGCTCGTTCCGCGCGTGACCGTGACTCGCCTTTCTCACCAGCAACAACTGTTCGACGTGTCAACGGTGCTACCAAGCAATTAGGGAATTTACGGAATCCATCGATTAAATGCCGGTTGAAACGATCATAGAGGCGATTACGGGATTAAGAAACTGGTTTGCACCTGCGCGCAAAGTTCGCTCAGGCGATAGAAAGGTGTGTTTCGACGTTCGCGAACGTTATTGGTCGGTCTGGACGATCGCGAAGAACGGGGGGCCCGTCGAGTGGCGTGATAAATGCGAGCTGTCCGCGAAAGTCACATTTGATTCGAGTTAACGTACTCGGAACGAATAAATAAAGAAGAAAAGATAGATAATTACGGAAGATGGATAAAGTCCGACTAAGTAAAAGATGCTAGGTTGCAGAAAATGAAAATAAAGAAGAAAAGAAATAAGAAAGATAGATAAAGTTCGAGTAAGCGACAAACAACTTGGTATACGTATCTTTATTGCACAATGTTTCGATGGGATGGACAGCAGTTTGCAAACGTACAAGTAACTCAACGTTCGATCTTTATAGAATTATTTCGAAGTCGATAAACGTGTTAAACTGTTCAATTAACGATTGTAACGTTTGTAATCTTTGTTTGTCAAAACGGTTACGTTTATACATCAGAGAAAGCGAGTGACAGCAAAGAAACTGTGGTGGTGGAAAGTGGATCGTCGATATAGAGGTATTTCGAGAAAATTAAGTTAGATTAGCGTAGGTTCGATATCGTCCCACGGTGAAATTGCTTGGCGCGAATTTAGCGTGTTTACGTTTCTTCCGCTTTTTGGAGAGAAAGATTTTGCTGTTTTAATAAAATAGTGTGTCTATTAAAAGATAAATTGTGAAGTTCGTTATATTGTACTTCCGGTGAAAATAAGTCCGAACACGACCCCATTCGGACCACTTTTAGGATTGTCTGCGTATTTTATTCTCATCTGGAGCAACGATTGCGTAGCTTGAATGCGGTGTAAAAATTGGCTATCGAAAGCAAGAACTACTGCAGGTCGGGACGAGGACGGCAGGATGCATTATTCAGAGAAACGAGGGAAATTCCTGGGAAGGGAATTTCTCGGATCGCCCAGAACTGGGACATCGATAAGAGAACACATTTCCCGGTTGCAGATTGGACGATGCTTTCATCTAATGAATCGGAAGAGCGCAGAGTAAAAGGGCTACAGGGCTCGCGAAGTTTCGAATTTACTATCTTCTTAGGATGGTTTTCTTATGCTGTTCGGGGTTGATCAACAGGTGGTGTGTCCGAATGAACTGGGTTCTGTTAGGCGACGAAAGAATAGTAGCTTTCGTTGAAATGAATAATTCGAATTCGTGGAGAATAGGATAATTGTAAAAGGTTCTGTGGGATCGTACATAATTTTAAAAAGATACAGTGGCTATATGTTCTTCATTATATTTTCACGAAAGTATTTCCACTGAATCGGTTACCTTTTCCCGATGAAGTAGTAGTAGAGAGGCGGCGACAAATCGTTCGACACGTTTCTCGTAATGCGGTAGCAATTCATTGCATAGAAAATTGAGCGAAAATGGAGGCGATTTACAAACGATGAATTGACAGGATTGCGCGTTTGATCTGTTTCAGGGAGGATGTCGAAGTCGGGCAGCATCAAGGATGGCGAGAAGGGTCCGTACGACGCGGTCCCGATCGCCGAGAAACCCAGCGATGAGATCAAACTCGAAGCGAAGATGTCCCTGATGAACGGCGTGACCGTGATCGTCGGTTCCATTATCGGTTCTGGGATATTCGTTAGTCCCACTGGTGTCCTCACCTACACGGGTAGCGTGAACGCGAGCCTCCTGGTGTGGATAGCTTCCGGCATCTTCTCCACGGTAAGTACACGCCAATCCTCTCGTATTATACAATCGATGGCTTCCACGTTCTCGAGAGTTCGTTGGCCGAGGAAATAAGAAATTTCATTCGGTTGTTTCGTGGCCAAGACGTTCTCAGCCAAGAAACACAGAGTGTATTTATATAATAATATAAAATGCAAGGAATTTTAAGATTCATTCAAATGTAATGCAATTTTACTATCGTTTCTATTGCGTTTATTTATTCGTACTTGGGTCTCGATATGGTTAAGCGGCGGAATAGACCACGGAACAGCCATAAAACGTATACTGGTTTCTGATCGCACAACAGGTGGGCGCATACTGTTACGCGGAGTTGGGATGCATGATCAGAAAGTCGGGCGCCGATTACGCGTATATCATGGAGACCTTCGGACCTTTCATGGCATTCATCAGACTCTGGGTCGAGTGTATGATAGTGCGGCCTTGCAGTCAAGCTATCGTGGCCTTGACCTTCAGCATTTATGTACTGAAACCAGTGTTTCCAGACTGCTCGCCACCGGACGAGGCGACGAGGATACTCGCTGCTTGCTGCATATGTAAGTGAAACACTATCTTACTACTTGCCCGAGCAAACTTAATATTAAACGAAAATTTAACAAGCTACTCAGAGTAACATTTTGGTCTTCTATTCGAAAATAACAGAAATTACTTTCATCATTTTCCAACGAATCATAGAATATCCTAACTTTAAACAGTTACTTTAAATAGTACAGTTCCAAAAGTGCCCAGATTTCTCGTTATCATTTTTTTAAAAATATCTCTAGGCTCCCCCAACGAAATCAAACAACTTCTGCCTTAAACATACCTCTCTATCTTCGAAAGTAAACAGTAATACTGACTTCATTGGGTCATTCGTGTCCTTAGTTTGTTCATTCTCACGGAAATCAAGCTCGTGGCTAGATAAATACGTTATTTCGAGGCTTTAATCAATGCCTGTGTCGTTTCATCAAGTCGAACCTCCTCGTATTGTTCCGATTGGCACCCTTGGATTTTCATTCTCTTCCGAGAACTCCGGCGTCGCGTCCTTTATGATTGAAAGGTCGTTCCGGAATAATTCATGGTCGGATTGTCAGCTAATCGAATCACTTTCTCTCTGCTTTAACGTTATTCAGCTTCTCCTATTATCTTGGCCCGGGTTCATTCAGACCTCGAGCCCCCTTTGATCGCTTCCTTCAAGTTTATTCAACGCATTCTTGCTCCCTAATTTATTGGAAGACTCAGATTTAGGCAACGTATCGTACAAACTTCTTTCTAATCGCCGTCCGAGAATTTTACAGTTTGTTTAAATTTAGTACGATTTCATTATCCAATATAGTATAGTAGAATAGTAAAATTATTAAATTCATTCAGATATAATGCAATTTTACTATACTTCATACGTCACGGGTTTGAGAACTCTTGAGATATTAGTGCTGATCACACGATATCGTCAACTGTTTCTGTCAACCCTCTGCGCTCCAAGATTTTTTTCCACCATGAGTGAAAATAAGTTAAATTTCGCTGTCGAGTATTTCTGTAGCTGAAGAGTATTATTTCTGTTAGAACAAAAAAAAAAAAAAAATAGAACGCGGACAATATTTGTAACGAGTCCACGCAGTCGTGGCCGCAATTCGTCCTAGCCTGTTTGTCTCCAATCCTTCCTAAACAAAAGCCTCTTCTTCAGCGTCCTTCTGGGAGCTTCCAGACTTAATACCACGGCTCACGTTACGAGAACAATTTATAATTCCCTCAATAGTAATCCTGGTCTTGTATCCTTTGTTTTTCCCGTGCTCTTGGCAATTGCGACGTTCCAGCTTGTCTTAGTTTCCGACGATTTCTCGAGGGAATCGCTTGTTTCCTTTCAGAGCTCCAATTAACAATTTTTTTTTTGCGCTGGTTAATAATCGCGATCTAACCATCGAGACAAATGAAAATGGCCGAATGGAATCAAAGCTGCCGAGTTCCATCATTCTGCCAATAAACGTGTAAACAAAATGTACGCAGCGCTAATTGATCCACAGACGTAAAGGTCATCTCGAATCGTGCAGAAGACGCGTATTTTTTTTTTAGAGAATCTGACGCTGACGAGGGAAGGAGATATCACGTACATTCCCCTTGCGGTTGGCGCTGTCTTCCGCCTCGATATCGAGACCACGTTGCGCGTATCGTTTTACAGAATTGCGAACGCCATCCGACACGTGCCCGCAGAAATGTCTTTTGGTATCTCGCAGCTCGTATAGTTCTTTTTCTTGTCGTCGGCGAATAACGCAACCGCGTCACAAGTTAATCGTTAACCATGCGACTAATTATCTTTACGGGACAATTATCTGCGCTGTAGTTGAAAGCGAGTACTTTTTACTCGCGATACGTACATTTTGTTACGGCGAGAGAAAATAGTTGTTACGCGTTTACGACGAGGTCGTTTTTCATGATGTTTGCAACATCTTTTAGCGAAACTATTAGTAGTATCGCGCGCGTAAATGCCATTAGCATGCGTGCTGATTTTATGGAGGATTTTTTAATTTATTTTCATAGTTCAGTTGCAACATAGTTGGTGCATATTTCCTAGATAACGGGTTCGAGTGACTGGACAGTTGAAATGGAAAATTTAACGACGGTATAGTTGCAGTATACACGAGGATATTTCGTTCGAAGTGGTTTCGTTCTCGTCCAAATGACTCCATCGATCACCAGCGGCGATTATGCAAAATTGCACATTATCTTCTTACATTTTTTCTCGCGGAACCAATCGTCGAACACGCAGATGTTAATTAGAGCCGCAGAAGCAGACCGTAAACTTCTCTCCGTGGCAGGAAGTGACTTTCGCGGAGAATCACGTCCGTCGACGTAACGAGATGTCGAAAGCTGCGGACAGAACACTCGGAGAGGAAGACGGAAACGAGACTCTTCGCGAAGATCGAGGGTTCCGTTTAATTTCCGATGAAATCGTTCGACGAACAGTGGACGATGGTTTCCCGCGAAAGAAAACGAAATGGAAGTCCATAGTCTCCGATCTTTCGATTGCTGACGCGAATTGGTTCCGTGAATTCTTGAGAAGGTAATTAAGTTTCTCGAATAGAACAAGTTTCTAGTGGCGAGGATCAATGATTAAATCTAAGGGGAAATCAATCGTTCGCGGAATTGCGAGTCTCTACGGTAAATCGAACGAGTTATTAACGAGACATATGGTTCTGAAATTCAAAGTGGCCGATTGAAAATTAACAGATCGGTACCTAGGGGTTTTTTGGGATTGTTGGTTTCGAATTGGAGGTGAACAAGTATTAGAAAATCGACTGTAGCACCTGTGGCAGTGCATAGGCAGGTATTTAGGACGGCTACCACCGCACAGGATCAAGATGGTGGATACCAAACCCCGATAAGGGCTATTGTCCTGGCGTCTCGAGAATCCGGCAGTGCTCGTGTGAAAAGACTCGCGGTACCAATCACGTCCAATTACGATTAAATGTAATTTTCTAATAACGTGTCAACTGGCGGGCACAACAGTATAATTCGCCGAGGAGGACATGAAAGACGAGGCGAAAAGAACATGACGCGGACGAAGGAGGAGGACAAGGCCAGACGGCAGACGTGCAGACGATGCAAGACGTTCCAAGGCGTAGGAGGAACGGAGGGTAACAGAAAGAAGGGACGCGGAGGGGAAGGGCGGAAAGAGTCTCGCGATATTCCTCGAGATGTTGCGTCAGTCGACATTTCTTACTTTTATTTGACGTTGCCAACGAATACAACCAAGGACGTGTCTGGTCCCGATCACCGCGATACGCATTCGTAAGGTGGAATCTTGCACGTGCTTCGTCGCCGGCCAATAAACTTGAGGCGTTTCTGACACCGGGCCACCACCGTCGTTGCTGTTAACTTCCGAGTGATTCAAACTCCTCGGCCAGAGGCTCCTCTGTCAGTCTATAGTTCGTTAACCCATCGCTGGCAGGTGTACAGTAACGAGAATTTGATTTAGAGTCCGTGAGACTCTTTTCATTTTTAATGAAAATGCAGAAGTAGGAAGCGTAGTTGTAGTACGATGCAACCTTTCTCATACGTGAAAATTAAATATCTTCGATAATCTCTCCGTCCTGTATCGCATTGGTCAGTCATGCAACACAAACTACAACACTCGAACGCATTGCATGTAATTGAAGTCGTGTACGTATACCAGGAAGCAATTGCTCCAAGTACCTCGATGCAACGTGTAGCACGAAAAATGTAAAACTCGCTACCGATTGCATCAGAAATTTCGACACGCGAGTAAATACGTAACACTGTTACGCAACGATGGCCGGTACCCTGTCGTACATCTTCATCCGTCGTAGAAGAAATCATAACGCGTATTCTACGGGATGATCGTAACCGTATCGAGTCCGTGGGATCTTCGGCGATACATTTACGAACATTGTGACCTGGATCGTCCAAACCACCCGTTGCCTTTGCCTCGGTCGTTGTCGAACAGGTCGATAACCATCCACGCTCGTTTCTACCCCTACCGACGTCATGCTCGACTGGACTGGTGCCAGTCAGTCTGAAACGCCAGGCCAGCTCATGCAACCGGTTTTGCAGAATAAAATGTTTACGCTAATGTCATTCATCCATCCGTTGCCCGGTTGAAAGCAGAGGAGTGGAGGTTTGCTCGTTGTCGGAGTTTCCGTGCTTCATCTTTTATAAACATATTTATATTTCAAACAGTCCCAACCAACTCGACACCGTTCACCACCTTCCGACTTATTCGTTATCTCTTCCTTCGTCCTTATACTTACAACCAGACAATGCTACGGCGACACCATTGTTGCACCTGAATAGCGATCTAGAGGTAATAACTTCCACTGTTCGTATAATCCATCACTGGAAATCAATTGGGAGAATTATCAAGAAAACTCCATCGTTTTACTAAAATTAATCGTAAAAATTAATCGTAAAAATTAATCAATAAAAATAGCGAGATGCAAATGATCAAGAAAATGTAAACTACCTCAGGTGTAACTTGCGGTTATTCACCCGTGTAATCGAGTCAACTAGTTCCGAAAAAAGCTGCGTGTAACGTTTCCCGATTTCATCGAATTATCGTACCTTTCTCGTTATCGACCAGTCACCCTCTCCTATCGGCACGAGCGCGATCGAACAGTTTTGTTTATAGTTTGATAGTCGCGTGGCAGCGTTCCGAGTGATGCGTGTCATCGAGACAGCGGTGATACGTCATCCAGTATCGCGACCGCCGGCGAACATCGAACGCAATCACGTTGATAGGTTTCCTCGGTTAATTTCGACGGCTAATGAATCCGATTAACGAGTGCACGGACCGATTAGGAGGTTCGTTTCCACGTGAGACCGTGGATCTCTCAACTAGGCCAGACATATGTTCCAATAATTCAATATTGGAACGTTTTATAGGTATTCTAATGCTACGAACAGGTTTCGTATCATTCGTTCCAAATATTGTTTCAATGTTTTTTTTTTTATTTTATTCGAGTACGTAAATTGTTTTACGTAGAACGACACATTTGGAGTCCCGTAACGTTTCCTCGTTTATTTCAGGTATCCTCGCGTTCATCAACTGCTGGGACGTGAAATGGGCGACAAGGGTGCAGGACATTTTCACGTACGCCAAGCTCCTGGCGTTGTTCGTCATAATCTTCGCCGGAGGTTGTCAGCTGTTCACCGGTGAGTTCAACGACATCGACACTCTCGATTTAGATATAGATCGCTATCCACGCGAAAAAGGGGATGGAGACTACCGTGCGTTTCGTGTTCCACGTAACCGTTCGTTTCTTGCGGCGTTGCTCGATCCTTTTCTTGTGCTCCGATACACGCGACAAAGACTGAACCGATCTTACGACAGATCGACTTTCCCTCGCGTGTGTAAACGGACGATTGTTCCGTACGATATGATTTCACTTTATCAATTTAAATAGACGAGATAAGGAAACTCTTCTATGGATGATTTTTAGTCACGGAACGAGGAAGCCTCGCGTTAATGTTTCACCACCCACGTTACTCTTCGAGGTAACATAAGACAGTTAGGCGTCTCCACGCTTGCCGGACGAGACAAATTGCCCAATCAAAAAGGTGGATTAAACACGCGGACGATTCGAGGCGCACGGTGTTGCGTCCCGAGGAATCGCTTTAAATTGAGCTATTCAGTCCTCCAAATGGGTCCCTTTTCAGCGAACGTCTTCCTAAGAACTCCTTTGATTACGATAAATTGCGTCTCCCGATGTTGTCTCGCTTCTGTAGTAAGCGTCATCATCGCTTCTCACCCGAACGAGTCGTACATGGAAATCAAAATTTATATCAGAAACACATTTACCCTGGATTTAAGTAGAAGAAAATAGAAATAGGTAAACGTTCAGTCGATGCTTAGGGTACCTTGTGCTAACGATAATCATTGGGATAATTTTCACAGATGATTTTCACGAATAGTTTAATTTTAAAATGTAAAGTAAAAAAAAAAAAAAAAAAAATGTTGTTTATTTTCATTAATAAAAATTGATCTAGAATGATCTTCTGTTACTTGCTAGAAGCGTCGTGCGAATAGAAAACGATAAGCCGTGTGTACTATGGAATTTGTTGTGTTTGATCGATTTCTTTCGTGTGCTTGCAGGGCACACGCAATATTTCACGTTCGAGAACACCAACACGGAAGTGACGTCGATAGCGCTGAGCTTTTATTCGGGTCTGTTCGCTTACAATGGTTGGAATTACTTGAATTTCATCATCGAAGAGCTGAAGGACCCCGTCAAGTATGCAACCTATCGTTCACTTTGCTAAGTACTTATAAGCGTTCAACGATTCTTCACGGTATCACGTTTTGTTTTGAAACTACGGAATGAATTTTAACGTGATTCGAAACAATGGTTACAGTTCGTTGATACTTACTTTTCCTTTACGTTTTATCATTTTATTTATTCTATCTTGCGCTTAGCAATTTTATTAAATATACAGAACACTACGTCAACCACCGTGCAAAGCAGATAAGGTTCAATTTAAATACTGTTAATTACCCGGAAGAATACATTAGCTAGTTCACTTCCACTTTCACAGCTTCACATGTAACGTGACGCGATACGTATTTTATTTTTAAGCCAACATTTTTTCAGCACAGATATGCAAAGAAGAATAAAAGATAAACATGTTAAATAAAATGCTAACAATTCTGGAAGAACGACTACGTGCCGTCACGTGATATAACCTCGATAATAAATATTGCGCCACATGGAAGCTTTGTAGTCCACTTTCGGTTTCGTGTGTATTGCTTGTCTGAAAAATGCAGTTTACGCAACATTCGTTTATGCGCATTGACGTTGGTTTACTTGCGTTTCTCCATTTAAAAAATATGATCATCTCAGACAAATCGAAACAATTAAACCCGATCTCCGCTGAAATCTCGCGCAACCATTAACAGCGATTGCAACAGCCGGTCTTGTGTATCTATTAATTAAAAGAGGGGTCGCAAAGCCCAGTTCTATTGACTTTAACACGAGGTCAAATGAAAGGGCCCGTGCTACGGCGTCCTATGCTTTTCAAGGTCAAACGTTTTCGTCACAAAACGCCACTCGGTTGAAATCCATTGAAATCGATTTAACGATCATCGAACCTGCTCTTCAACTTAACGAGATATAGCCGGATCGATGCAACTATCCACGGGGTAGCACAGAAATACAAAAGAGAATCGCACCGCTAAACGATACTGAAATACTTGATTAAATTAGTATTTTTCTTTTATTTAAATGAAATCGAGTACCTTTAATAATTCTTGTCTTTATTTTTTCAGAAACTTACCAAGAGCTATCGCAATTTCGTGCGTGCTCGTCACGCTTGTTTACGTTTGCGCAAACGTAGCCTTCTACACGACCTTGAGCCCCGTGGAGGTTCTGGGAAGCGAGGCAGTGGCAGTGGTAATTCATATAAAACTAAATATTTGTACTTGTTACGGTATTCGAATTTATTAGACGATACAATGAAAAGAGAATTATTTTGATTGCCACTAACGTCACCGACGAAGAAACTAATATCCGCAATCGTTTTCAGTAACGAAACGCTATTACCGCAATTAGATTTCAAAAATTATTTTTCTTTACTTTGCAGACCTTCGCCAATCGTCTGTTCGGCATGTTCGCCTGGACGATACCTGTGTTTGTGGCACTGTCGACGTTCGGAGCGGTAAATGGAATTCTTCTGACGTCCTCGCGACTCTTCTACGCCGGCGCCTGCGAGGGTCAGATGCCTGAAATATTGACCATGATTCAAACCTCGAGGGTTACCCCAACGCCGGCCGTTATCTGCATGGTGTGTTGGTATTTGCGTTACACGGACAATTTTAGTGAAAATATACTGATAATAAATCACGGACGTGCACTAACAGTTCTGACATGTAGATTTTTTAAGCGGCATACATACTCTGTATGTATGTGGATAAAAATTCAGCACAAGAACCGTGCTTCGTAAACCTAGCGTTGAAAGAAACGCGTACTTATGGTCACTTCCATTGGAAATCGCCACCTAAAGATTGACACTTGCAATCTATTGTGACTATTCGCGCAATTTTCCGCTTCGATTGCGTCCAACTATTCAGAACCGTCGAGGATTTTCTCGAGGGAAGGAACAATGGCGTACGGTAATTGAAATCTGGTTCGTTGGTTTGTTTCAGGCCCTCTTGTCCATGGTGTACCTCTGTTCTTCCGACATCTATGCTCTGATCAATTATGTCGGCTTTGCTGCTTGGGTAAGTACACAATCTCCAATCACCCTGGAGATCGTTTTTCCATTAACGCCACAAATAGTGTCCCTGAGTTACCGCAAGGACACGTTGTGTTATACAATAAATGTAATTACTCTTCCTTTCCACCACGTTTTTATGACATTCCCAACACGTGACTTATAATCGCTTCTCGATACAGTTATGTATCAGAAATTGTCAGAATTGTAAAATAATGGTGTAGAGCTGAAGGTATCTCACTTTTAATTCGTGCAAAACGTAATACAATTTACCGAGTTACTTTTGATATAATGTAATTCGTGAACACGGTATCTCGTATCTCGCATCAGAGCAACTATGCAGACTCGTTTGCATGGTCCAATTGAACCAAAACAAAGTTAGCATGATTGCCCCTCGTTACGTTCTAAGAAATCTACCGAGCATTGGTGTACGCATGCCACGTCGAGTAGCACGAGTATCTGTCCATCACGAATTGTTAACCCAGACCGAACGAGTGATAATTTTCTAATTAGTTCATGCTGCTTGGTGTAATTGACAGTATTGTCCCAGTTCAAATACGAGCAGAAACGCGGCCAACTTTGACGCATAGACTCCGATAGACATTTCGAGTTGTACAGCTTTTTTTTTAATTATATCTTAACCCTTTGCTGTTCTATGTCGAGTGAGACTCGACAAAACTGTACTGAAATCAGAAAATCTGGACTGCAAAGGGTTTTGTAAAATTCACTAGCCGTCATCCAGTTGTCTATACGTTCCAATGGTAATGAGATCTTATTCACATCTACGATGTTTCATGTTTGTTTACAGTTGAGCATAGGCGTCTCTGTGCTCTGTCTACCCTGGCTCAGATGGGCTCAACCGAATCTGCCTAGGCCAATCAAAGTGAACCTCTTCTTCCCAGTAATATACATTATTGCTACCATTTTCGTGACTGTTGTGCCTATGTACGCTAGCCCAGTGGAGACAGGTAATTAATTACACTTGAATTAACTTGAAATTAACCGTTATTATTTTATTCTAATTTCAAATCTATTAATATTTTTGTTTTCAGGATACGGCTGCCTAATGATCTTGTCGTCCGTGCCCGTGTACTTTATCTTTATCGCGTGGAAAAATAAGCCAAAGTTCTTCCAGAAAGGAGTCTGTAAGTTAAAGTTTTTTCTAACATAAAATAAAATTTCTGTAAAACAATTGATGTTTCCATTGTTAGCTTATCAGGATATCGACATTGAGTTTTTATGTCATTCTAGCTATTTGCTTTAATAAGTTATACATTGGACACGATTTTCTTATCTCGTTTAAAGAATTAGTTCAATTTTTTACGCGAACGAAAATTGAAACATGGACCATTTTGTTTTGTTTCTGTTTAACCGTTGTGTTCCTGCAGGCGCCGTTACCAAAACATTGCAGAAGCTGATGGTAGTCGTCGGACCAAAGAATAAGGTTCAGAATACACTCTAACATAATTTTACTCTTGTCATGTCGTGCATGCTTTTAACATTCGTTAATTTCTATAAAAAAAAAAAAAATCGTCATTAAACAGCTTGTCGCTTCTCGATCACCTTGCATGCATTCGTCAAATTATTTTATTATTAAGGGGATCACTTCAAATTTCAATCGATCTGCACGATACATAATCATTGTGAGTATTCGTGAGTCTTATTATATTTTCAAGAAAGATACACGTAACAACACTCTGTTAATCTGTCTTTAATTTAGTTTCGTGACGCTGTCTTTAAATCAATTTTTTACTTTCGCGTATCTCTGAAGCAGCCATTCAATTATTTTTGTCTCAAACGTCCCTTAACGATCGCGTTTAATTTGAGTTTACTGAAACATCGTTAACGTTTATTTTTGCACGCTGCACTCACAGAACAAGCACCACGCACACCAACTTACACAATTCTCTCACACGGTGCACCAGTAAAAAATTGTTACTAATGTACTATGGATGACTGTGGAACTAATCGCGAAATAAAATTTCTATTGTTACTTTTATTGTGTTGAACTATTCGAATATAAAAATCTACTAACCATCTGTTTCTTTAAGACAAGATATTGAACTTCTGATGTTGTTCGTTTGCAGTAAGCGTGACGAAGTTTCTGCAGAAGATAATGCTGGTGGTCGGCAAGCCGAAAGCCGCTCAGGTTTAACCGCAGACAGAATGCGTCGTCAGCCTTCATAGAGGTGACTTCCAGCTTGCAGACAACGAGAAATGGGACAGGCTTTCCAGGACACTCGGAGAACGTTTATCCGCCTAGATTCATGTAAAATATTTATTTCATACGAAAGATATTCCTAACTCAAATTCGATTCTAGGTTGGACCTGCATTGCACTATAAAATTTAAATCAAACTCCTTTTATACATACACACGTTAGAACGATTTGTAATTTTCAGTTCAACGATAAGACTTTATTCCAAAGATTATTTCAATATTCGAGCTACTCGTTTAATCGTTCTCCGAGTGAGGGAGGAGCGTTCTGGCCAGAGACAGCCATATTTAATCAGAATGCTCAGCAACAAAACCTTGAAAGTTGCTCAACAAATCCACGTCTGCTTTTCTCGTCTGGATGTCAACCTCGTTACACTGGCACCAAGACATGGCGGTGATGTATTACCAAAACGATTCCAGCGGAGGTATAATAATAATGATAACGGCGATACGCAGTGACTACGAAGGTACTAACACGAAAGACGCAAATAAAAAAATTAAAGAGGCATCACTGAATGTTCAACGAGAAGACACACAGTATTCTCCTCCGCTGGACGCGCGTTTCCGATGTTATTGCTTCGTTTCATTCCATGCTGTACCATTTCCATGTTTCGCGATGCGATCCTTCGTTTCGAGCCTTATTCATCTTCGAGTAGATTTCGTTAGCCCAGGATATCGTCGATAATTTATTATCTATGTTTATTTAATTCCTCTTCATTTCGCGATGATTGAACAACATCGAGCACAGGTCCCGATTACGGTTCAAAACATTTTCGTTCACACAGGGATCGAGAAACGAAGGTTCGTAACAATTGTTACGCGATGGCATTCGATTGTCAACATCGCATAATAATAGTAATAATAATAATAATACTAATAATAATAATAATAATAATAATACCGATAATAATATTGTATTCGCATTTTACTGCCACTGGTATTGGCACGGGGACTGGAACTGTTCGGATATTTGATGGAAACTTCAAACACCGCGTACATGATTTAAAACCTAACCTAAACACACAACATTTTGAACCTAACCTATTATTTTAATAATGTTTGGTTGAACAGTTGAATTAGACTTGTATTTAATAGTATTTAAGTATTCGAAAAGTAGTACCAGCCTTAAGAGGCACGCATACGTACATGTCTATAGGGTGTCCATCGACATCTGGAATTTCTCGAAAAGAAAAACTTACAAATGAAACAGATCAATTCGCTCAATTGCAATAATTAATATTTTTGAAACTTGTACTACAATCCCATAGTCTGTACACACCGCGTGTGTCTCGTGCTTCCATGGGTTCATTGGACTGCGCTCTATGAGCAACTTTTAACGGGGACTGTTCATTGCTAAACCACTGGCTAGATCTTTTTTGTCTATTAGAGAAAAAGATAGTCCGAAGGCGCAACCACTCGAATGACTCTGGCTATTCAAACGTTTAGGTTTAACGTGTGTGTTAATTGCGATCGCGAGAATTTTCGGTAAATTGACGATTGCAGGCAAGCTTATGAGCGTGAATCGTTCGAGTTTTAGATTTTTTATACTTTTCTAATCGTAAATCTATAGGACAATTTTAGTCGATTCTAAATCTTCATTCTAGTTTGTTCCTTATTTATCATTCCGTTTACTGTACAAAACGTGTATGCATGGTGTACACTGATCTCTATTTAATGAATTTGTTACGGAGGTTTGCAACAACCATAGAAAGCCTCCGTAACGATGCCGAGGCCGCCATCTTTGAGAATGAATCGCGCCGGCCACCTGTATAGGCAACCGAAGTACTCGAATAGTTTATGAAGTTATACAATATTTTTTATGGGAATAATTCTTATGAAAAGAATAGATTTATATGTATTATAAATGTACGACTTAAGTGATTTAATTTACTAATTCGAACTTGTAAACTTAAAACTATGTTTCTTACAAATATAACGTTCTATCGTTTTAATTAAAATTGAAAACAGAATTTGAAGTAAATTCTTCAAAAAAGCTGCACAGACCCTATGAAAAGGTAGTAGCGTTTTAATCTCCACGAAGGTGACTATGTTTAAGAATTGTGTAGCAGCAACGACACCACCGGAATCCATGTTTTACGTACAATACTTTGATTGCGCTATTAAAAGAGGAATAATCCTTAGGCGATACATTCGACACAGCTCGTAAGTTTGTCCTGTTCAATTTATACGAGTCGTTTATTAGTCGAATCACTTAACCGTCTGACACCGTGGCAGTAAGTACTGTGTCCTGTACGAATTAAGACTTAATGTGTTTATCTCGCCCCATTGTCGACACCTTCATGCTTGTACGCACTGTGATTTTTATTTACTCATAAGCGCACGTTGATTTTCGCGAATCGTCGAATTCAGGAAACCCTGGTTTCTTGTCTATATCCAAACTTTATCCGTGTGTTCTTCTGTGTAAAAAAAAAAGTTGCAATTGAATGTAAACTTTCTATTTAAATGACAATGGAACACTAAGACTAAAGAGAGACAAAATTGCAGCATATCGGTAGATGAACTGTTCTAGGACCAAGTATTTTGTACAGGGTGTTCTTGAAAACAGATCTCGCCTGTAGTCGGAGCAGAATCGATTGGCGTGTCAAAGTTATCGTTAAATATAGACAAATTTTTCCGAGAGACACTTTAGAAGTTGTGAATCTACTTAATATAAAAGTTGTAATCGTGATTGGGAGAGTGACTTTAACACTCCACCTCCTTCTGCCTTGGCTATAGCTTAAGAAACGTCCTGTTGCGCCTCCGCATAGGATCCTAAATACTTTGTTATTCTCCTTATTCTGAAAATTAGCCTCGGTGATTCGTCCGAGCTAAAGCACTCCGAATGTATCAATCGCTATCGAATATCAAAATGGAATTGAAAGTCTAAAGTCTGTCAGATCACGATGGATCGCTGACTCCTCAAAATTGCTTTACAATCAGCGATCGTCTAATATTTTCTTTTCATTTTTGCACAATCGTACCAGTGGAAGGATGTATCCCCGATGCTAATCGTCCACGTAGTTTCTGTTGTTCGTTATCATTTTTAAGGGATACATTTCGACGATGAAAAAACTCCCGTGGAACATTCACCAGGGTGTCTATCGAGGTATGGACTGGTCGATCCTTGGTAGCTGTAGTATTTTGTCTAGATTACAGTTTAGAACAAAGCGAAAACGTAGTTGTAAAGCGCACGAGGTAGAAGGTCGTATATTTTTGCATTACTATAAAACGAATGGCTTCGATAGATACTCTGGCACGTGTGACAATAAGTATCTACTAATTAATTAATTAATCAAAAGTAAGTAAGGTGGATAGTTGAGAAAAAGACCGAGAGAAAATGTTACTAGAATTCGACGATGTTTTTGTATCGTTATTTTTTTTTTTATGTTTATGGAACTACGAAATACCAGTTTGTACTTGAAATTCCTTGTGAAAGATAACCATCGAACGATTGCGAGTATAGTGTAGTCACTATACACGCGTGTCTATGAAAAGATGGCACGACACGAACACAGCAGTAGCTTAGGATCTAAATAAAGCAAAAGAACGTAAACTGGAGGTCTAAGGAACAAGCGATCTGTGACAATATATTATATTGCATAAATATTGTGTGTTATTTTCGGGAATCCCTTTTCATTTTGTAAGATACGTTTGTCAAGTGAATCAGCTTATTGTATTCATTGTTTTAAGGTGGTTCCAGGTGGTTCTTTCCCAAATGAACTAGTCCAAACAAAACTCGAATGCAGAAGGTAAGTAATTGATACAATTACAGTTGCAATTAATTTGTTAAGTATTATTTTATTCATCATAGTTGTACTGGTTGCCGTATACAGGGGTCATCCTTGCGCCTAAGGGATAGCAACCACCCGACAAACAGGCTACCGTAGGCTGCATTCTAACAGGGGCACACTCTGCGCCTAGAGGATGGTGGCAACCAAACCGACAAGCTGGCTACCGCGTAGGCTGCATTCTACAGGGGCATACTCCGCGCCTACTTGGTGACACCTTTTACGTTCATTTTTCGTTCACTCTTCGACACCTCCTGATATTTCCTAACACTTTCTAACATCTCCTAATACTAACTAACAATTCCTGGCACCACCCGACGCGACCTAACATCTTCCAACAACTCCTGACACATCCTAACCTTTCCTCAGTATCAATTCAGTATGAAGAATTACTGAAAATGTTCCAAAGTAGAACCATGGGAAGGAGCAATAAATGATAAACACTTGATTATATACGTGTCTATATTGGTATGTATAAATATATAAGTTATAAATATATAACATTCATATATTTATAACTTATACACAATATATATAATATATTTATAATATTTATAACTTTGTCCACAGCAGTTGTACAACATACAGAGATTACAAAAGAAAAGAAGTTTCATTTGGTTTCGTCGGCGCATCAGGAACAAAAATATCTGCATACTCTTTGTCGTTCGAGTCGAAACGAGGAGAAACGCAATACATGTACATAAAGGTCTTACAAAAAAGATAGTAATGTTTTTACTATTTAATTTTGAAGTTATTTTGTGCGCCATTCCACTTTACCCGCTAAATTGCACGCAAACATCCGATTGGAGAGGTTTTTGTAAACTCGATACAAAATTCCGACGAAAAGGAAGTAATCGTAAAGTTTGATATTGTTGTTTGTTCAAACTTCATGTAACTCAATGTTCGCCATATTTAATAAAATAAAATCATCTCTCTTTCACGCTCGTTCGACTCGATACAACGAAGATGGAAAAAAAAAAATACATCTTGAGCGTTGCACTTCGTTGACAACAGAGATGGACAAAATATTATTCGAATAAAAAAAAAAATAATACAGCGATTTACTTGCAACGTTTGTTCGATTGATCATAGATTATTCGTATAAGCATATTTGTTCTATCCGACGATTTGATTTGATTTGTGAAACTTGTTACCCGAATAAAATTCTGCCCATCCCTATGTGAAATGTATCTATACATTAACATGACTTTTACGATAGTCTTTCACATGAAGTAGCGCGTTGGCAGCGGGTTAAAAAGGGACGTGGAAGATATACGATATAAATACATTGATAATCTCACGCTGGTATTCCCCGTCGTCTTCGCGATTAATTATTATGAATGACGAGGGCTTCCTACCACTGTTTTTCCTTCTTTTGCACCTATACAAACACGCAACTACAACTAACTTTTCCTGTTCGCATTACTAGTTACCGTTAACATCGTTACTAACGTACGTATGTATGTACAAAGGAGAACCTCCAAACGTGCTCGCAGAACATTCTCGCACAGGCTTCAACCATCGAGGCATTTCTGAACATTCTCGCAGGAATAACGTTTCAGTGTATTTTCTTCGATAATAAGTTTGCCTTTACGTTCATCATGTGCGATTTAATGGTGAACTCATCGTGGATCGTATCTGAGAAATTCGAAAAGTTCGCAAATAACAATTCATTGGTTATTCCGGTGCAATTTCTTTGCCAAGAAATGCCTCGTAAGGTGTGTCTGTGTAAGCTTTCGACATTGCACTTAAAAGTCGTTGAGAAAAGGTAAAAAACAGTTACTTACACACGGACACTTGCACGAAAAAACTGGAATGATTTCATTTACTGTTACTCGCGTTGTCGCTTCACCTCTGCCTCTCTGATTCACCGATAAAAAACATTCGTTTCCCACATCATGCGACACGACGTAATGTACAAAACACGCGAATCGATTAAAAAAAAAAAAAAAAAAAAAAAAGTGAAGAAAGAACATTAGATCTGTGAGTATGTAATTTACAATGTAGACAGAAAGGAGACTGGCGAATGGATGAAGACCATAGAAATATTGTAAATAGAGAAAGGGAAACCAGACCCAGGGATGGCTCCAACTGTACTCTATTCGTCTTTGTCTATCAGCGCACGAGTTGCATGGATTGCCAACATTATTCGGTTCAAGTCACTTAGCTTTCAATTATTTTCTTGTAATATTTTATCGTTATACTAGCGTTATATAATATGTAAATTGTATAAATACGTGATACAACAGCTGTAAACGTTTTAGAAATTCGTAATATACAAAGCTAACTCAACGAGTCTGACTTGATGCTTTAGTAGACAGAGATAGAGTACCGAGGCTTCCCTTCCCTATCCATGTAATCTTTACGACAAAAACAAATTTCTTATCCCGAGAAACGAAGAAACGAATGCTACGAAACTAACCGACAATCGAGCTAAACGAAATTCCATGGACATCTGTCCGCCAGAATTTAATGTACTTAAATATCAGGGCTGAGACTATTCGAATATTTCGTAGATACTCGAGTTAAATGTCGATACACCTCGCGACTACGTTAGCTAAATGCTTTTCAAATGTTCTCGCCACTTTAGCAGAGTCTTTTCTATAAGTGGCGCCAAGAATGATCGTGCTTGTAGTAAAAATATGTAAATCCGTCAATTTTCGTGACAGTACAAACGTCGCATAAAACGTCGTCAATACCGTAAATGCGATTAAGAGAAATCAGACAAGTAGTCTCAGCCCTGTTCCATACAAGAAATTTGTACGAAAGAGTTTCTTTGTTTCTTTTGAGCAAACGATACGCGCGAGTATCGTTGTCTTTCTTCGTCGAATACGATCACAACCCGGTAGCTCGCGGAAAGGTTAATAAATTAATAAACGGTTTGCAGAACGTCGGAAAACAAAAATCACAGTCGAAAGCACTGACAAGGAGACCGTCGAGACATATCAAACACCATACTCGGTGGATAAGATGTCGTCGAGGTTTCTTCGAGAGAGATTCTTTATAAAAATCGGAAGTGTTTAGACCCACGTTTTCGACGGTGTGACACGAAGAAAGATGATCGTAGCCTCCGTTATACGATATTCTTCCCCCCCCCCCCCCCCCGTTAATAATTAGTCGTTTACGCTAGCTTACGGTGTACGGAGTAATGCAAAATTACGTTTCTAAGTTCGACACCACCTCGACGACTCGAGAACCGACGCAAGGTAAGTAGATACCTTGGAAACTTTGGAACTTCAGCCGTTCTCGAAATCGTTTCGGTGACTGAATAACGAGAATTCTACCGCAATTTGTACGAGTGACACGGTGTATCGTGAGCGATTGAACAATTCGCGACTCGATCGAGAAACGTTTACCGATCGAATCGTGACGAATGACAGATATGACATCGCGTTCTATCGATAAGGAGGTCGCACCGTTATTCATGGATTAATTAATAATACGTTTAAATTACTAGATCGTTACCGCTTACTCAGCCATATACGCCGTTTCACTTTAAATACGCAATAGTGCATAAATATTCCTAACAAACAGACTGCCAAGCGATCTTTCCAGGGATAATAAAAAAGAACATGTCATCGGTTAAAATCGTCGCCTTAAATTCGAATCGAGATTCTTTAAACATCAGTCAACGGTTATTCAGAAATGATTAAACTCACATTTCGTTCGTTCTAATCGTTGTTTCGCTTGACAGTCCATT